CCTGAAAATCATGTAATCGTGTGGGACATCAAGGCAAAATTTTATGAGAGTTTAATTTTCGAAGAATTTGATCAAAGTTTTTGAAATTTTATCATACATTTTACTAGTAAAATACCTAGTACACTTTTTACCAGTAAAATGTGTAGTAAAAATTTCAAAAAACTCTCATAAAGTTCTTCGAAAATTAAACTCTCATAAAATTTTGCCTCCGACCGACAAATCCAGCCTATCAAAACGAGAGACGGCATCGTGTTTATACGCGGAGGGAATTTTCTCTTGAAATTTATCCTGAAAATCATGTAATCGTGTGTGACATCAGAGCAAAATTTTGTGAGTTTTTGAAATTTTACCATACATTTGACTAGTAAAATATATGGTAAAATTTCAAAAAACTCATAAAATTCTGCAAAAATTAAGCTCACAAAATTTTGCCCTGTTGTCCCACGATTACATGATTTTCAGGGTAAATTTTAAAAGAAAATTCCCTCCCCGCGTACACCCGGATTAGGAGATACGGCGGATAATTAAAAAAAAAAGAACGACTCTTTGAAGATTGCTCGCGCGATTCGCCGCGATAAAGTGTGTAAACCTTTTATAAAATAAACGGCGCGAGAGAGAAAGAATATTTAAATTGGTTTTGCAAGAACAGACCGTTGCTTAACAAGGCAGAAAGTGTCTCGACCGTACGTCTCCGATTATCTGCGTGAATCTCCGCGCTGAAAGGTAACGGGGCATGCGTCGGGGAGAAAGTGCGAAAATCGCGGCTGGACCGCAGCGACCTGACGATTGCGGCTACGCAATCGCGCGCAATTGCCGCGCGTTGTATAATCCACATTTTATCCGCGTTCAATTAAACCTTATCCGGACGGTCTCTCTTTCTAATCAAAGGCCGCCAGTCCCGGCGGAGAACGATCGCACGGCAAAAAAAGAATCTCCGACGAGCGCGAATTAACTGCAGCCTTGGCCGAAGACACGGAGGCGCTTTTAAAAATCGAAACTGCTCGTAAATCAACGATACGAGCGAATATCGCAATCGCGCACGAGATTTCTCGTGAAATAATTTCGAAAAAAGAAATTATAGCGTCCTCTATTATAAGATATGCTCCTAATATGAGATAGCGAGATAAAAAACAGGATCGAATCAATTGGACAATTGAATCAGAGTCCGAAGAAAATCTTTATCAATTCGAACAGTTTTGTTCTTTCTTATTCAATCGTGAATTACACTAAATAATTTTTCGCAATTTTTTCCACTGAGCCATAAAGCTACGCCAAACGACGTGCTCTCTAACGGTCAATCAGTGGATTTTCACTGAAAACAGTGAATAGTCACTGATTTACAGTTACAAGTGGAGGAAAATCTCCTATTATGAGATAGGCTCCTAATATGGAGTAGCGGAGTTTCTGCTAAATTAATAGGCACCGTCCGTCGATTCCGCCATGAACTTAGTCCCCTTGGAGTCTGTTTAAATTCATTATTAGATTGCGCATACAAGTGTTGCAAAAAAATTGATAAAATTGGATGTCGAATACCCCGCTATCTCATATTAGAAGCCTATCTCACAATAGAGGACTTTCCTCTCTCTCTATATATATATTTTCAACATTCGCCGTACTTCGTGAACTTGGAGACACGTGGCTAGAGAGCTCGAGCTAACAATAAGCAGTTAGATTTATCGAGGGAGTGGATTAACCGGCGATCCGGATTTGTTTCCAACTACCTGCTACGTATCGCGAGTTTAGAAATTCGCGAGCGTATTCGCATGCCGGCTGTGTAAATTAATACGCTGTCTTCCGACCGCGCCGCAGCGTGTCTGCGCACGTGATACGAGGTGCATGCAAAATCATGCACCTATGTAAAAGCGAGATTGACCTGGAAACCGTTCTAGTCTTATTTTTTTTTAATTACCTTCCCATTCGCTTTCTTGTATAACGCAGCAGGACGCTTCCCGGCGATGCTTATCGGTTACGTAGACACATCAGGCATGTACGATCGTGCATTCTGTATGATTACCGTATACAGCAACCTCACGCGATCGTCAGGCGATTTAAATGCCAGTTAGTGGCGTTTCGTGAAAAAGAAAAGGAAATAAAAGGTTCGAGTGTCTAATTTATTTGTACGAGATTTCGTTAGATAGAAATTTAAATTTGCGAAAGATCCCAGATTACGTCGGCCGCAATGTCTGTTAGCTGGAAAAACCTGGAAAGTCTCTGAAATTCTCGGGAAGCTTTACCGAGACGTTCAAAGACTCAGAGGAAAATATTTCGGGTATCGGAACATTTTTATCGAAAAAAACGGCCTCTTCGAGGATTTTATTTTTTATTTTGCGAGCACGAAAAAATGCCATGTTTCAATCGCCAAAATATAAATTTCGTCTGGGATCTTTCAAAGGTCTATTTAGCTCCGTAGACAGACTTTGTTTTACACAATTTCATGTTAGAGTAAAAAAGAAAAATAAAACGGACAATAATAAATTGCTCTAAGTTGGCACGTAATACACCATTGTACACGTGCGCCAACATCTTCATACACTCATTACCAATAATTATATTATTTTAGGGACAGATACGCTGATGAAGACTAAGTAAAGTCGAAACGTTCGTCAATTTAAACTATTACTTTTAAGTTAAAATTAAAATTTTTTTGTTATCGCATCTTTAGATGTTAGGTAAACGCGTCATCTTATATTTTAAGTTGGAGTAAGATAACTACGTTATGCGCTTAATTCTTAAACATCCTAATTTTATTGTTATATTAAACTGAACACTGCTCGTAACACTATTGGCCTTAAAAATTTTTAACGTTTATTTTATCATTCAATTAAGACGAGCTTGCATTAATTTCTTTAAACACCTTTGCCTTTGCGCCCGCAGAAAAATTAAGCAAAAATGTCTGAGAAGCTGCGGAATTCTGTTTCCCAGCGCGAATGGAAGTTCCACGTGGATATAATATAATTTGTAAACGTAACAGACTCAATTATATAAATATAGTCTTTTTCCCCTTTCACCGTCATCATTGGTTTCTATTGCTCGTTCATCCGTACGAATTGGCGTCGTCTAAGGACGATTGAACCTTAACGCTAACGACGACGATAACGAAGCGCGCACTACTATATGTTCGAAATAACGTAATCACTTATTGTTTACAGACACCGGATAGCTGCAGAGATATCGACCGGGGGAAGTACAAAGACTTCACGTTCGATCACTCCTACTGGTCCTTCGATTCGAACGACGAGAACTATGCGTCCCAGGAAGAGGTTCATGTCAATGATTTTCCATCTAAGAGACGAAAGGAGGAAACCGAGTGGGAAAAATCATTCGCTCGAGATCGATGACGGGACTGTCGGCCTTAAAAGCGCGCGTGTCACTCGCGATACCGTATACGGGAAGACGAAACCGGTCGCCTCGCGCTTGCATAGTTGCAATTAGCTCGATCACGCCGGTGGCGAATCACGAACGCGAAGAGATACGACGAAAGAGCCGCGAGAGAAAGGGAGAGCGGCGCGTCGGCGGCAATTATAGCAATAATTGAGCCTCCCAAGCGCGGCAGCAGTTGCCGCAACAATTGATCTTCCCGAGGATATAAACGGCAGCTGTCTATTGTAATGCAACAGAAGCTTTAGGGGCCGATTAGTACTTGCAACGAACATCTGTAACGAGTGAGAGAGGGTTGTCGAAGCATAATCAAGCAGAGTAATCTTGTTATTATCCGCGAGATCCATCGTGATAATCGCTCCGGGCTACGCAATCGTTAAAGTCAACGTGACCTAATTATGGCGCCATTGTGTAAAACGCGTAGCGCGTTTTCATTGAGGGATAACGCGAGGCTGATAAAATTCGTTTCCGCTTCGTTATTAAAGTGAGACGCCGTTCGTCTTATCGAACGGCACGGAAAGACCCTAATCGAATCGTTCTCTCCCCTAGGTCTTCTACGATCTCGGTACGGACGTAATAGAAAGTGCCTTCGAGGGCTACAATGCCTGCGTTTTTGCCTATGGCCAGACAGGATCCGGGAAGACCTTTACAATGATGGGCACGCCGGTAATGTGATAATCTAATTCCTCGAAAAGACGCCACCTCCCTTCCATTCGGTCACGTTTGCTCTACGGGTGGAAAAGGGACTTTTGCATCGACATTCTCCCCGGGGTGTAATTTGAAAGGATGAAAGAGAGATGAGACGAGAAGAATTCAATTCTCAATTGCTGCGCGGAAAATTTTCGCCGTGAAATTTTTACATCATCGAGTAGACAATCAAGCGATGTAGAATCAGTCTTCTTGGGGAGCGTAGCAAATAAAATCTCACTCTGACATTATCGCAAATAATTACTCAATTATCATCGCTTTTCCTCGGTGTTGGCCAAATCGGTATGTTTTTGCAAAATAAAAAATCCACGGCTAAAGGAAAGAACCTTTTTCCACCTACGTTCAGAAAATGCGACACGTTGATTTTCCCTCAACCTCGCGATCTCTCTTCGTCTTTGTAAATCTTATCACGTGCGAATCGTACGTAGGAATCTCAGGGATTGATACCACGTATTTGCAAGACGCTTTTCGCCAGAATGGCAGCTGGAAAGGAAAGCGGGGCGTCGTACAGAACGGAAGTATCTTTCCTGGAAATCTATAACGAAAGAGTGAGAGATCTGCTTAGACTGGACCAAAGCCAATCCCATTCGCTGAGGGTACGGGAACACCCCACGGGAGGGCCGTACGTCCAAGATCTATCGTGTCATCTCGTCTACGATTATTCGGACATTCAGGTGAGGCGAGAAAGCGAAGCGTCTTAATAGCAAGCCCTACTTATCTGCCCACATACGCTATTGTTCATTGAAGTAACAACGGCAAAGAATCACATGCTTAAACTAATCTCCCTTATTGCATCATAATTTCAAATATACACTTGGCGCTTTTGTCCGAGTATAAATTAAAGGACACGTTCTTACAAAGTACTGAATATCTGTGCCTGAGAAGTAACCTGTGTCGCAACGACAAAATTATCGGTTTTGTGGTTTCTATCTCAACTGAACGTTCCATTAGGTATTTTACTATTATCTTTTGGAAAAAAGTACTTTCAAAGAAACTTTAGAATATTATAGAAATATTGAAAACAGCTTATAGAGATGCAAGTTGAATTCGAGTCTCCTTATAAAGCTAAATGTCACCCTTGACCTCTCAGGTCAGATGTCTCCTCGTATCGTGATATCAGTAATCAGAGTATCAATGAACAGATTATTCTCGTTTCAGGAATGCATGGTGAGAGGTAATACGCACAGGACTACAGCCAGCACAAAGATGAACGACGTGAGTAGCAGGAGTCACGCGATTTTTACGATAACCTTCGTACAGGCCGGCCTCTCGGAAGGCAACATGCCGTCGGAGACTGTTTCCAAGGTGCACCTTGTCGACTTGGCCGGAAGGTAGTCCCGAACAAAGAAAAACAAAAGAAATCATCCGCAAGTCGGGTTATTTTTCGAGTCCGTTTGTTCGTTCAAAAATGAGAGAATAGAGAGAGAGAGAGAGAGAAAATAAAACAATAACGCGCCGTGACGGATGTTCCACGCGGCTTCATAAAATCCGATCTTTTTTTCTTCAGTGAACGGGCGAACGCGAGCGGAGCGACGGGTCAGCGACTGAAGGAAGGCGCGCATATCAACAAGTCGTTGGTGACTTTAGGCACTGTGATATCCACGCTCTCCGAGCTCAGTTCCGCAAGCGGTGACGCGTCCGTCTCGAAACGTAATACGTTTATCCCTTATCGCGACAGCGTGCTCACGTGGCTGCTGAAAGATTCGCTGGGGGGCAACTCCAAGACTATCATGATAGCGACTATCAGCCCGGCGGAATGCAATTACAACGACACCCTCAGTACTCTTAGATATGCCAATCGCGCGAAGAACATTATCAATAAGCCGACTATCAACGAAGACGCGAACGTGAAACTCATCAGGGAGCTCAGAGCGGAGATAGAGAAGCTCAAGTCCCTCATCGACAAAAACATGGCAAGTATTTGCGAATGAATTGCGGGGCACGTTTTTCCAAATTCTTCCTCATTGCTATCGTCGAAAAGATATATTTACATGTGTGATTTGTAGAACGTGGAGAAACCACCGCAAGTGCTATTGGCTCAAATCCAAGAGAAGCAGGAGCAGGAGAAGGTACTGACCGAGGAATGGACCGAGAAGTGGCGGGAGACGCAACAGATTCTGCAAGAACAGAAAGCGCTGGGATTACGAAAGAGCGGGGTCGGCGTTGTTCTCGACTCGGAAATGCCGCATCTAGTCGGCATCGACGACGACCTGCTCAGTACCGGCGTTACGTTGTATCATTTGAAAGAGGGGAGAACGCTAGTCGGCACGGAGGACGCTCCCGTTGTCCAGGTGACAAATATAATGCAAGATTATAAAGCAGAAATTGCATATACGTGTAGACTACTGACCTATCTAATTCAAGTAAAAGACCAAGCTTTAAATAAGAGGCGACATTATTAAAGTGATTAAAGGCACTCGTTATGTCTTGTAAGCAGGATATTGTGCTGACCGGCGCGGACGTGGAACCGGAACACTGCGTAGTCGAGCTGGATAGTGGCGTGGCGACGCTGCATCCGCTCTCGCCCCACTGCTGGATCAATACTGCCCAGGTGGACAAACCGACCAGACTGTCGCAAGGCTGCATCATTCTCCTGGGCAGGAACAACATGTTCCGATACAATGATCCGGCCGAGGCGGCGAAGCTGCGGAAGGAGGGCGGCTCGGGCAACGGCAATCTGCAATCGACGGTCGTCAATCTGTCGAGGTTGTCGCTCCTGAGCTGGAGCGTCTCCGATCTGCACGCGTCCTGCTCCAGCGATAATCTCCTGAACTCGAGCGAGGATCTCAGAGCGGTCGAGGAGCTGGAACAGCAGAAGGCTGCGTTGCTGAAGGAGAAGGAAGACTTCAAGGTGCGTTGGTAAAATATTTCAGATTGCGACGCTTCTCTCTCTCTCTCTCTCTCTCTCTTTCTCTCTCTCGCTGGGCCAAATTTTGAGCAACCATGTACCTTTCGCAGAGGGAACAAGAGGAGCGGGAGGAGAGGTGGACCGCCAGGAGGGAAGCGTTGGAAGGAGCCCAGCGCGAGCTGGAGCGCGAGTGGGGCGCGCAGTGGAAAGAGTGGGCGGACGCGATCGCGGTCCTGGAGTCGCGTCAACGCGAGCTGCGCGCGCGCCGGCATATCCTGGAGCAAGAGCGGCGGGACGAAATGACGCAAGTAAGTGACACGGACGCGCCTCCGTCTCCGGACTTGAATGTAATGAATAAGTACCAATTCTACCTCGTCCTTGTCGCTATCGGTGTCCTTATTTACTTGTCTGGCAACATCATCATCTACTCGCACGTCTGTCCGTTAAACATGTGATAAAGCTTCGCTCTTCGCGCGTCGCTGCGAGACGCCACGCAATTCGTGGCCAAGTCTGCGAGTGTCCCGACTACGCGAACGAACGTTTGCGAAAAAAAAAATAATATAAAGAAAGAAACGACATTTCGATAACAGACCAAAATTCTTGTGATTAAGATACACAGTATCCGTCTATCGACGTCCAGATCCAGGCCTGTCAGTATGTGTTTTCCTCCATAGCAAGCTTTCGTTGTCGTTTGCGACGAGACTTTGCGTTCCATGAGATTGTCTACATGAGATTATCTTGATTCCGCCGCCGGCCTCAAGAGTCCTCAGATATATATTGCGTACACGTACAATTAACATATTAATATTTACAAATCGTTTATGTTAACAAATTGCGTTGGTGTATATGAGTAAGCGGCTGATCACGAAAAAAGGTGCTAGTGCTGAAGAGATATTGCCGGACAGATGGCATTCCTTGGAATGTTATATATTTAAGTATCTAGTAAGAATGTTAAGAGTGAAGTATGTACATATCTTGGGCTTGTTTGTATAGAGATACGTCTATGGGTTTGTTATGCGAGATATCAAGATACAGAGGCACTAATTATTGTTATACCGATATATATATATTGTTGTTTAATAAATTTTTCATACAAAAATTGGCGTTTGATCCTCCACAAAGTACTTGCACGCACTTTCACTGTTTTCTGTCTCTCTCTCTATATGTTTCTCACATAATTCTTAAGAGTATGCATTCGATCGAATTAACACTCCCGATTAACAAACCCAATTTCTCATTAACTCGCCGCACCCCGGGATCCGTCCGCATGATGCACTGTTCCGAGTATTGGTTAATAGAATGGCGGAGACTTGTTTTCTCGAGGCAATGCATCGCGAGGACACATTCGCTGTTTGTTTAATCTCTTTATTTTGCGACTTGTTTATTCGTATTTGCATCTGTTTATTAAAGACGTACGCAGGGATCAATTTTTTTTTTTAGCGAATACATGCGTTAATATTTATACTATATATCGTTTCTACTCTACAATTGTCATGTGGCGTCCAAAGCGCACTTTTGTACGTCCTAAAAACGAACGAAGCAACACAAACGTTCAGTTTCTTCTTATTAATCTTCAGGCGCCACTGATTATCATAAATATTTATTTAGTACCTCGTTCATATGCAACAATATCATGACAAATTGTTAATATTTAATTTTGATGTCATCTTTTGTTGATTATCTCTTTTGTTAACGCATCGGTGTATGTGTGTGTGGTACCAGGTAGAAAGTATATGTAGGGAAGTCGCCTATCTGCGCACATTATTGCAGTCCAAGCATCGACAATTGCAAGAGCTCGCCAACAGTCAGGAACGTGCGCAAACGTGTCAGCATCGGTGGGAAAAGGTAAGGATTATAACGCGAGGAATCCTCGAGTTTGTTACTCGCGACACGCACGCATATTGCAAACGACGCGAGGCACATGTCGCACTATACATTCATACAACTTTCTTTTATGACAAACCACGCAGACAACGTAACAGCCCTCTCGGCAGTAGTCACTTAATTATTTAAATAAAACGACGGGACGTGAAGTACGTTTATTGCTATAATAGATCGTATGTGAATGTAAAAGGTCGGACGTCTGGTTTTACAGTAATTTCCGTGTAATTTTGTAGAGAGTGAGTGAAGCAGGATGTGCTTTTCAGACGGACAACGGCGCCGGTAGTGACGACAGTCTGCCCGAATCTTGGTCCAGTCTCAACGACGAAAAGTGCATCGACAGCGTCCGACAATTGGTGAATCATCACGTAAGTGGGTTTACACGCCTCTTCAATCCCGTTCGGTCGCTTTCTACTAAAAAAAAACATGTAATCTTAGAAGAAAGAACTAGCCGCTTTGGAGAACGAGCTGCAGAGCAAGGTCAAGTCTCTGAACGAACATCAGAGCAAGGTGGATAAGATGGAGGAGGAACTGATGGAGATCGCGAAGAAACAGAAGCAGATATTCCGGGCAGAAGTACGTACGCAAAAAAATTCTAACGTTCCGCGAGACAATTCTTTATACTTACATCGCGACGGCTTCTAGCGGGACGGCGATGGGGTGACGGAGAAGAAACTGCTGTTGGCAAAGCGGACGCAGGAGCAGCTCGAGGAGATCGTACGGCGTAAACAGAGTCTGTCGTTGGACTTGAAGCGCGCCACGCCCGCCTTCCCGGACGACAGTTGTTCGTCGAACGGCTGCGACGAGACGGCTTTCAGCTGCAACTCGAGATCCTTCCAGGATGCGAACAACAGGAAACATCGGATCGCCGCGGACCTGAATCTGCTGCCGCTGAGTATACCGAGCTCCGACACCGCGGAGACATTCCACACGGCAGCGGCCGACTCTCCGGAACTTCGCATCATCTTCGAGAATGCCGACACGATGTGTATAAGCGACCTGACGAAGAACGTGTCATCACAAGACGTTGGCCACGATGATGGAAACGCATCCGAGGAGACGAAAAACACGACGAATGCGAACAGAGCCGCTGCCGTGGAGCTGGCGGGCGACGAGGAGAGGCAGGCGCAACCGCCCGTGATGCCCGACATCCCGGAAAACATGCTCCAGGACACGCTAGACTCGCCGATACAGCAGAATCCGGCGATGAAGAAGCTGAACCAAAGAATCGCACGTCAACGCGTGATGGTGATGAGATGCTTGGACGCCGGTACCCCGTCGAAGGACGATCTCAATCGGCAGATAATGATACTGCAGGATCTGCAGAGACAGCAGATCGAGCTGGAAGTGTCTTTGTTGGAGGACGAACGGAAAACTTATTCTACGAAGCGACTCCAGTGCGGCGGCGACGACGACGGGCTCGTCGACAACGAGGCCGCGAACCACGTACAGAACGAACCAAATGCTTACTGTAGTGTTGTAGAACCTACGAATAATAGCTCCGCCATTCTATTAACGGTAGCGCAAACCAGATCTCAACTTTTCAGGAATAACAGGCCTAACGCTAACGATCAAGAGACTTTGTCGGAATCGTTAGCGTCTAAAAGATCCTCCGGTCGGGGTTACTCGACAGTTTACTTGACGGTGAGTTCACTGGCGTCTCTCCTCTTCCTCGTCTTATGCCCATTTCTACCAATGCGGATCAGCTTTAATCCCGATTTAACTAAGTTTTGATCTCTTTTTCCAATTCCCGAAAATTCCTAGGAAAGGATAAAAAGTAAAGTTAAACCGAGATCAGAGTTAATCCGCATTGATAGAATTGGGCATTGGGAAACAGTCGTGACAACTTCAACGCATATACGTTCTCTGCGCAGAGTCAGAATCGCGGCGATCGCTTGAGCAGTCCGTACTCCTTGACAATCACGAGATCCCTGCCGTCGTTGATAGCAAATGACGGCGACTGCGTGATCAATATGATTGTCAGCGTGCCGTCGTATGTGATACGCGGAGCCGGCGCGTCCAGCCACTACGAGTACGAGGTGCGAGTTGTGGCGCAGGACGACAGCTGGACGCTGCTACGTAGATACAGGAGGTTCCGGGAGTTGTATACGTCGATGCGACAGAAGTACGGTAGCAAGGTACGTTATAGCTTAATTGCACCACGCAATAATTATGAAGGTGACGCGAGTGTTTGAGTCTATCGCTATAAAGTATCCAAATGTGTGTCTACCTAAGCTCTAGGGAAAGAAATTGATTTTAATGCCAAATAAAAAAACTGGCATCATTGTAAAGAGAGAAAAATCTTGTTCAAGAGTATCTCACTGATTCGTTCGGTTTGCTTTATACAGTATTTATTAGAAAATGTTATTTCATGCATCGTGTAAAAGCATTAAAGAGTCAGAACGTACACATATAAAATACAAGTCAGAACGCACGCATATATACATAAATAATGTAACAATTTTACTCTGAATTCGGACGCAAATTATGTAGATACTCTAAAGTGCCGAGTGTTAAAGAACTTTAAATAGAAACGTCGAATTATCTCGAGACAAAATGTACACACGACTCAGACCACTTTCATAAGCGCGTGCTCATATGCAATCGATTTTACGGAGACTCTTTGATGTGCAGGTCGCGGCGCTACGCTTTCCCCCACGCCAAGTCTTTCCGAAGTACGAGGTCGTCGCGAGACAACGCCGGAAACGCCTCGAGGAGTATCTTCGCCGATTGATTCAAGTTTGCTCGGAACTGCCGCACTGCGAGCCCCTATACAAATACAACGGCAATCTTAGCAACATAAACAAACAATCCCTGCTGGAGTTCAGCCCGTTTTTCCGCCGCGGTATGTTCGAGAGCGGCAAGTACGGAACTAGCTAAGGTACTACCGTGCGACCCTCACCCTTCCGAAATGCCGACGAATGGGCGAGAGAATTGAATAAGCGAACACGCGACAGATGTTTATAATTCCTCGTATTTTTTTCATTTTCTTTTCTATTTAATAAAAATGTGGTAGCTATAGCTAAAGAGAGATGTCGCGCGAATTGAGTGGCAACGGCGTTCACACAGAATGAGTCCCGTAACATTTGTCGCATACATTTCTTGAATCACATATCGGTCCTGCGAAAAATTATATAAGGATAAAAACTGAAGTGTTTCGTGACTTATCGATACCCTCGATAAGGGTATTACGAATCGTTGGTCGGTTCAGCCGGATTGCAAATGTTAAGCGACTCGTCCTGCTTTGTAGTCGTTACAAAGGTATATGCTTCCAGAAGCTTAGCGATCGTAAGACTGTTCTGTAGAAAATGAGCGTTCCTCACTGATGACCGTGTCTCGCGGGCAAATCCGCGTAGAGACATTAACGGGAAAGCAACGTGATATATTCTTTATGAGAGAGCAAAGACCGCGGTCGGCGAGGCGAAACATATCGCGTCACAGCGACTTATTTTTTCCTTTACAGATATTTTCCTAATGTCCCTCTCCAATAGAATCGCCCAGTAGAATTCACGAAGTGTACCTTCCTTCGATATAGTCAAATCATGTAGCGGATATTGTAATTCTGGTTACGTTTAACTAGCGCGAAAGTCACTGTAAATTGGCAGGAGCGAATTCGTCAGCAACGGTGACTTCGCGTAGTCTACTCGATAGCCGAAGAGTATTTATTTTGCGTCGAATAGCGTTTTGTATGCGCGACCCGAAGTAGCGAATCGACTAGCGAATTGAAAGAATTTCCCGTTAGCGTAATAGTTGCCGGCTTGTAAACGTAGCAGTGTGTTACAAGCGAGGAAGATATCATATCTCTGTTAAAGCTCTTCCGTTTCCGGGATCTATCTCTGGCTATTAATAAAGCTCTTACCACTACTTCAGGCACGTGTTCTGGAGATCCGAATAAGAAATTTATACAAACGCGTGTCCAGAAACGTTCCTTGCCGCGAGTCCCTTAAAGATTTCTAAACAAAAAATCTGCTATCGCATGTTTTCTGAACTTAAGGATGTATTACGTATACCTTCCCAGCAAAAAATACAGTAATTTTAGTTAAATTTTAGTTAAAAATTCAATATATATCGGTTGTGTGCATACTTTAACGGCTGGCTATTATTGAATATTATAACAAAGATGTTAATTTTACTGATTTAAATAACTTCAACCTCTTTTTATAATTATTGACAGCGTATTTATAAATATTCTTAATAGCGGTTAAAAACTTTTGGCTGGCCATGAATCCAACTGCTAAAAACAAAAATCTGACATATATAATCTGCATATAGACAGAAAAATGTTTCATAACCTGTCAATCTCCAAACAATATGTTGTTTAAAATCGGAATATAAGACATTTTACAGATATCATTAAGACATCTTGTACATGTAACATCATAAGACGTCTTATAAAAGGTACCCTATATTTCTATTTTGGACAGCGTGTTGTCTGGAACGCACATAAAATTTGAAAAAATTAATAACTTGAAAACGAATCAGTCAATTGATCCAAAATTTATCACAGGTTTTCATGGTATATAAATGCACAACTTCTGTAAAAATTTCAGCTTTTTCCCTCTATTTTAACTTAAGTAACATACATCCTTAAAGCTCGAAGAAAGTGAAAATGTGCAAAAATATAATATTCTTTGAGCTTTATTCTCCAACTTTTTGATCATTTTGAATTTTTTTTGAAGAAGATTCAAAATTTAAATAGAAATAAAATTTCTTTCACGTGATTGCTATTTCCGGGGAAAATTTTTTTTCTAATATCTTTAAAGGACTGTAACTTGGTGAGAGTTTCTAGGACATGTATTTCTGTGCACTTTTTTTTCGTACTGTGGCCTTTAAGTATCCGAAGTAGCGGTAAAGTGTTTATTAATAGCCTTTGTCTGCCTGCCCGTCTGTGTATATGTGTGAGTGTGCGCGCGCGCGCGTGTGTGTGTGTGTGTGCATAAATGTGTATAGTGCGAGGGAATTAACAGACCACTGTTAAAGTTGGAGTTGTTACGCAGATGTTAGCATTTATTTGAATATTGATACTAAACCAAAGTTGATCAATGATAAGTATCGATTTTGGCAAGTATCACCGCATTGCTATGGATAATAATTGATCAGATCGATCAGATCGCTGTACGATAAAAGTATTAAAATTTATCAAAAAAAAAAGCTTCTTATTGGCGTGCAAGGAACCTTGGAATAACGTAAAACTGCTTGTTCGTTACATAGTCAGGACATTTCGCGTTGCATTCTTACTAAATGTTTGGAGGTGCGAAAGGGAGAGATAACACTTGCAGCTTCGAGAAAACGCTGTTATATTTAGTACGTTAAAATAAAATCTATATAAAAAAAAGAATGCTAAGCGCCACACGTACGATAAATATGCTTTTCAGTAGTACGAGGGGGAGGAAAAAAAAAGGTATTTATTCCACGGCTGTGTGTAGCCCGGACTCGAGAAACCCCCGCAGATTCATCCTGGCTGATAACTGATAATTAGCGATAGCAAAACCCGGCGCTCTAGAGCAACGACACCATTCAGTGGTGCGTGACTGCGAACACTAATCGAGACGTGTATTACGAGGCAGTTATTACTTACTTCGAAACGGACATTACCTCGCGTTTCATACGATTCACCATCGTTATCCGCTTTTTTTATACACGAATCTACGAGACCTATACATGTTCCATAAGTGTAACAATGGAGTACAATAAATTGTTATAATGCAGCGCATTTTCCCGCTTGTGTATCACATATCGCCGCGACGAGATGTGCTCGTCTGGTTCTCGCGAAACGCAGGCGCGCTTTCGTGAATTCGCTTCGCATAGAAAAATACTAAATAATGACATCCTTTATCGTTCTCTAATTCTATCCCGCTATGTTAGAAATTTAAATGATTTTCCTTTTCTGAGCGACGCACATACATACACGCACATGTAACACACACTCTATACACCTGCTTCTCCGATAAACATCTGAAGGTACTTTTCGTCTTGATTTGTTTCGGGGCCCGAAAAAAATTCACGGAACCGAGTTTAAAAGACCGAGCTCGCGAGAAAATACGGAAATGAACGATGACACGAGAGACACCAAACGCAGGTAAATAAATGGGCATTGTCCCCTCGAGTACTCGATTTTTCAAATAAATTATGTTAAATAATAGGATGGGGTTTTGTCATACCTCGATTTAAATGAACACTTGTTCGCTCGCTAAACTATCGGCAAACGGCGCGACAATCACCCTCGTGGCAAAATAAAACGTTAAACCGAACGTGATGGAAATCGGCAACGCGGGCAGCGCTTTCTTGAATATGGCCAGCAACAGCAGCGTCAAACAGAGGCCCTGCGTAGAAAACGGTCGATTAGGAAAATACTGTCTCGGTGTCGCGGCTGTACAAATACGTACAATAAGAATAGCGACGAAGCAAGCCAACGTGGTGTTCCAGTCTCCATAGCTGGACGCCTTTCCGACGAGCACGCTGTAAAATATGAAGTCCCCGAGGCCCAGCTTAACCCCGCGTTCCTCCTCGGCGACCGCCGCTTGTCCCTGCGACTCTCGCGGACGGCTCTCCTGCTGCCTCGCGTCTTCCCTCAACGCGGACGAGTTCTCGCGCACTTCCTGGGCGCGCCTCGTGCTACGCTCGTCTGTATAAACAGGATTAATTCAGCTCTTCGTCCGAAAGGGTTGGTTCTTGCAATTTAATTTTTAATTGGGATAACTTGAACGAAATTAAATAATCTAGTATCTACATATTTGATCCATATAGTTTACTTTGTAGTTTTGTTAATGATTTAGTTAATGCAATTTCTTCTACCGGCAATAATTCAATGTGGAAAACTCGAACAAAATTAAATAATCTAGTATCTACATATTTCATCCGTACAGAGTTCATTTTGTAGTTTTGTTAATGATTTAGTTAATGCAATTTCTTCTACCGGCAATAATAAAATTTGGAAAACTTGAACAAAATTAAATAATCTAGTATCTACGTATTTGAGCCATAGAGTTTATTTTATAGTTTTGTTAATGACACACTTTAATTTCTCCTACTGGCAATGAGATTAATGCTCGTACCGTGCGTCTCCACCCATTCAGGAGTGAAGCCTCCCTCTTCTGCATCGCCCGACGCTTGATTATTTTGATTGTCCGCCTGGCCACGCGTGGGAGACGCCGCGGTGTCTCCGGACGCCATTGTAGCCGCCTGCACATATCCAGCGTAAGTGACGGTAAACGAATACAGGATGGTGGAAGAATATATTAAAGCAGGGAAGATAGATTCGTTTCGCTCCTGCGCCGTTTCGACCAGTATCCTTAGTGGGCCTTTCGGCGTTAAAACCGCAATCAAGTCTACGATGCAAACAAGAGGGACATAAGATTTGTTGCGTTCGCAGTAGGTTTCCGTCTCGAAAGCTCTTCTTACCCCAAATACTTATAACGCCGAGCACAACCCATGCCGTCCACTCGGGTAAATACTTAATGAAAACAAGCGCCATCAGGGCGGAGATAAAGATCAGATACGCCTGTTGAAGCTGCAACGGACCCTGCCAGTGGATACAAATCATCCCGACTACACCGAAATTCCATAAGCCTATACTTAACGTGAATAAATCCATTGGAATGTTATAAGCTTTCAGCACTTGCCTGCAAGTACAAATGCGCAGTAAGACTACCGTCGAATGTCGGAGTGGAGTATCTTACATCTATACAGAGCACCTTCTTTATACTCACTCGCAGTACAGAACGGAAAACATTGACAGCAACAGCAGAGAGCTTATGATCAGCCAGCCGTGTATGACTTTGTAAAATCTGTATTTGTAAAGGATGATAAGTATCACAGTCATAAACACAATAACGCTCATGAGAATCAGCGAGTTGGCGAACGCCTGCCAGACTTTGGTACTCGTGTCGGAGCTGTCCTCGTGAAATGGAGTGTATACTCTAGAAAGAAAGTCCGATTGAAGCGGCGTCGCACGCGGCGCAGACCGCGCTGCAAGTCGCAGGGGCGAAGAAGCACTCACAAGTACATTCCCTTGGTCGTGTAGAAGTTGACTGAGCTTATCGTGGCGACCACGACCAGCATGCACAGCGAGACGGGAACGAAGAGCTTGATCACATGCGCCGCGCCGTACTTGAGCTCCTCCTCCTCCTCGTCTCTGTAGTGCCTCAGCCTGTTTTGATTATTGCTGCCGGACGTGCCACGTCTGTTGGAGCGCGCGACAGCCGTGCCCGGCGTCTCGATATGTACCTCGGGAACCCCATTCTCCACCTGCGACCGAAAAGGCAACGCTTTTAACAACGGCATCCCACATTCCGCTCCGTCGGTAGGAGTCGAAAGGGGCTGAGCCAAGGGCCCGGGCATTTCGCTGAGACGACCCTACCTCTTCGTTGGCACTTCTGGAGCGGCCCTTCCGACGGTCATTGCCCAGGATCAGGTCGTCCGTGCGAGACTCCGCGACGTGACCGTCCATCAGGCTTGTGTACTCGTTCGCTGAGTCGTAGTCACTCTCAGACATTCATCAAAGTCTGTGTTCCCGGACGCGCGGATAGAGGAGGACTTGGGGGTTTGGACTCGGACGGGGCTGCTCGTGCCACTTACGACACCCACGGCGGCGGTGTATGTACCTCCCGACGTTGTCGCGCTCGAGTGTGAGAAAAAATAGCCAAGAGACGCAGCTCACGTCCGATTCAACTCCCTCGTCTCCCTGATCATCCTAAATCGTCCGCTCCGCGAGAAATCTCGTTACTACTTGATAATCGTTTACAACCTTTCTCTCTGTCGTCCTCTCCCTCTCTCTCTCTCTCTCCCCCTCTCCCTCTTTCTCGCTCTTTCTCTCTCGCCACTGATTCACCATGCGGCCGCCATATTTGAAACAAGTACAAAAGACAGATTGCGCTATAAGCGTCTGCACTCCGTTGCACTTTCGCCGCACTCTCCCCGTTCGCGCGCCGAATCAGCCAATCGGAGCCCGCCGAGTCACGTGACGAGTTGGCGAGTTTCTAGCCGGTGGGACCGTCGTCTCTTCCACCGCCGGTGCCTTCTCTTCCCCACCCTCGCCCCCTCTCGTCGCCAAGTACGCGTGGAACTACGCGAAACGGGTTGTTCCGGGCCCTCGAGTGGTCATCTCTCGACGCGGTAAAACAGCGGCGGAAGGAGCGAGGCGTCTCACTTGCGGACTGTTGCAGGCACCGTAGGCTTGGGGCGGTGCGGCGTTTTCCACACGGGCCAGGCCAGGCCAGAGGCGCGACTCGAGGAGCGGCGGCCCCCGCGACGCGATCCCCCCCGTCGTAAATATGCTGTGCTAGTACCCGTGAATGTCCGACACGATGAGCTTCTCCAGCGATGAGGTCAACTTCCTGGTCTACCGATACCTGCAGGAATCCGGTACGTTTCGCCCGCGCCTAACCTCGCGACGCCCGCGCCGCGCGCGGGCTCGCGGGGTCGACAATCGGGGCGGCTCGCCGACTTGTTTGTCAACACGACTCGCCGACCGCCTGGCGTGGAGCGTCCCGCTGCAACTCGGCGACCCCCGCGCGCTTCCGCTTCGATTCGTTCCTCTTGCTCACGGCGACCTTTGTCTCCTCCCTGACCAGGTTTCCAGCACTCCGCGTACACGTTCGGCATAGAGTCCCACATATCGCAGAGCAATATCAATGGCGCCCTCGTGCCGCCGGCCGCGCTCCTGTCCATCATACAGAAGGGGCTGCAGTACACGGAGGCGGAGATTATGATAGGCGAGGACGGCACCGAGCACAGAATGGTGGAGTCCTTGTCGCTCATCGACGCGGTCATGCCCGACATCGTCGCGACCCGGCAGAATCAGATCAATCAGCAGAAGCAGCAGGTGAAGGCCGAAGGCCAGGACACCAATGGCGAAGAAGGTAATCCACTCTCGCTGTGTACATTTGCCTAACAGCCGGAGCGTAACATTGTAATTCTATGTATGCATAAAGCTGGGTGTACATCTAAGAACGAACAGGCGCGAGCGTTCGGTGGATGCAACCGCCGAGTGACGGCGACAAACGTTCGGTGTTCGCTCGTAGATGAATACCCAGCTTTATAGAGGTGTGCGGGCGAATCAAGTTGGATTGACTCGAATCCGTTCGTGTTTCTACCAATCTTTCCTGAGCTCGTTAGATATTGATTTCAAGGTAAAACCATAACTTGATCATTTTGTTTTCAATGACGTTTGTTCTAGAAGTGATTTTATTGTTGCGTTACACGAATTATCGCGTTTATTGGAGGTTCCTCTGCGACGAAGCGTACTTCTATCGCTCGACGTAGCCAGAAGAGACAGCGTATGGACTCGTCATCGATCTGTCCGTCAACTAGCGGCGAACAGTTATTTTGACCAAAAGAAGTGACCGATTTGAAATCGGCTAAGTGTTCGAATTCGAATCTCTTTGATTCAAAAACGAATGGAATCGAGCCTTCGGTGATTCGATTCAAATTCGAAGTGCACACCTCTAATGTAAATAAGCTGAAGGTAAAGAGTTTGGGGCAGCGATTAGGATTGCGTAGAAAATAACGCGTTACCGAGCACCTGATACACCCTGGTCTGGAGAAGTTAACATTCTCCAGACCTCCATAGAACTCAGGTAGATTAAAACGGAACGGCCATAGATTGCGGTCATTTTGCCAGCTGTAGACTGTCGCTTCTGTCGGGCGTAGCGATGTAAAGCATGGTTCCTCTACGAAGAAGCATACCTTCATCGCTCGACGTAGGCAGAAGAGGCAGCCTATGACTCATCATCGATCTGTCCGTCAACTAGTGGCAAACAGTCCTTTTAACAATAAGTAGCGATATGTCTAAAGACATAACTCAGCCAGTAACACGAGTAAACAAGCATAAGTTGATAACGTGTCTCTATGTGAATTCACAGAGCTTGTTGTCCTCACTTTTTCTTTCACCAAAGATACAAACCGTCAATTCAGCAAAGAGATACACACACAGATCTATATCTGTGTGTTTGTCTTGGTATCTTTAAAAAGAGAAATACCAAGCTCTGACTCACTGCTACCTATGCAGTTATTACCCTAAAGTGGATATAAGAAGTCGCTGTGAAATGATGAGAAATGTTGGTTTCCTTCTCAGTTGTTACGTCTAACGACGGCGTCAACAATAATGACCGAGGTGGAGACCGGGGCGCGGAGATGGAGGTGGACGAGCCGACAGCGGGCGCGAATGCAGGCTCCAACGCGAGTACCGTCGAGATCCCTGCCAGCAAAGCCACCAAGTTACGCGGTCACGAGTCGGAGGTGTTCATCTGCGCCTGGAATCCGACGACCGATTTATTGGCTTCCGGCTCCGGGGACAGTACCGCTCGCATTTGGGATATGTCGGACAACTCGCAAGCGCCCAATCAGCTCGTCCTGCGTCACTGTATTCAGAAGGGCGGCACCGAGGTGCCCAGTAATAAAGACGTCACATCGTTAGATTGGAAGGTACAGACTGGACGCGCCATTAAGGCCTGCGTTCACGGTGCTACAACTTGGTCCAAGTTCTAGTTTCGAGGACTCAGGCCTCTACTTCTGGTCGGGACGTCTCGACGCAAATACTAATTTTGAACTTTTACAGTGTGACGGCACGTTACTCGCAACTGGAAGCTACGATGGATACGCACGTATCTGGACAACTGATGGACGATTGGCATCCACATTGGGCCAACACAAAGGTCCGATTTTTGCGTTAAAGTGGAACAAACGCGGTAATTACATTCTGAGCGCTGGAGTTGACAAGACGACCATTATTTGGGACGCTGAAAGCGGACAGTGTACACAACAGTTTAGTTTTCATTGTGCACCCGCGTTGGATGTCGACTGGCAGACAAACACGTCATTTGCCAGCTGTTCTACAGATCAATGTATACACGTATGCAAACTGAACGTGGACAAACCTATCAAGAGCTTTCAGGGACACACTGTATGTATATGCGATTGGAGAAATTGCCATGCTTTAATTAAGCATTTCTCTTAATTTGCCCCTTTGCGTTTTGCAGAATGAAGTGAATGCAATTAAGTGGGATCCGCAAGGAATTTTATTGGCCAGTTGTTCAGACGATATGAGCCTGAAAATCTGGTCTATGAAACAGGACACGTGGGTACACGATTTGCAAGCACACAGTAAAGAAATCTACACGATCAAATGGTCACCGACTGGCCCAGGTACACACAACCCGAATATGAACTTAACATTGGCCAGCGCATCTTTCGATTCCACCGTTCGATTATGGGACGTTGAAAGGGGTGTATGCATACACACGCTCACCAAGCACACCGAACCAGTCTACAGTGTAGCTTTCAGCCCAGACGGGAAATTCCTCGCTAGCGGTAGTTTCGATAAGTGCGTTCATATATGGTCCACGCAAGTAAGTATCGTAGTTCATAGTTTTGTTATTAAAATATATAAAAATACTACATCGAATTCTGAACTGATTGCTTTCGCTTGATTCGAACAGAGCGGCCAATTGGTGCACAGTTACAAAGGTACAGGCGGTATCTTCGAAGTTTGCTGGAATAGTCGTGGTGACAAAGTCGGTGCATCGGCATCCGACGGCAGTGTGTTCGTTCTCGATCTTCGCAAATTATAATTATAATTAGTTTCTAGAACGTACTCCTCATTCGAAAATTTTATTACGATTCTTCAGTCATGGTTAGATTTTTTATTATACTTTTTTATTTTCCTATTATACGGGGTGATTCTAAGCCTAGTTTAAATGAGAATTTATCATCCACAACTGCACAGATGCAAAAATAAATAACGAAATCTTATTTACAAAATGCGATCCTGCTATTCTTCAGATGATATGTATTCCAGATTCCTTTTAATCTTTATGTATTTTTTTTTTTCATTTTTATTATAGAGAAAAATGTTGGTAGGATTTAAATATTAATATATTTAGACACAAAGCTTGGTAAATTAGGATTTTTTAAATATTTGATAATTTTTAGTTCACCCTTCGTAACCATTTCGTGCACCTAAGTTTTTCTTGAAATATATTTATGAAGTATGGTACTCTTACATGAATTTGATTCTTATTTATTTCTCTAACCATTAACAATGCTTAGAGAATTAGGTAGTAATTTAATACAATTTTAATGAAGCGCCCACATTCTCGGTTTGAATTTTTTTTTATACTATTCCCTTAATATTTCATTGAGACAGATGCATAAAGAGAAATGTACATTAACAATATTTTTAATCGTGACACGAAACATTGTACAGCATATAATTCAACAAGCTCTATATTTACAAAGAAATGGATTGCTATCTTTATTCATTAAAAATAGCTGGAATATGCTATCCGTACTCCAGTTGTAACTATAATCACACACAATTAGAGAGTAACTGTGATAGTATTAAATAATAAGTAAACATCGACAATGAATAAAATAAATAAACTTTTTTTAACGGTGATTATGATTGAGAAAATGACGTTTTATTCACCATTCATAATATCACCATATTTTTGACAACGCATTAAAACCTAGGAAAAGACGTCTAGTGTTGGCTCACTTAAATAAGATTAAATTTTTATATTATTATTAATTACGCGACGTGTCTCGCAACCGACTGCTTTTCATTCAAAATCGTGAAAACGAAATAAGCGATTTGTACGCCGAAAAATCGTGCTGTATTTTATATATTTTTCATTATATCTGTGTCTTGACTATACATTTTTTTTAAATAATTATCTCTACAAAATCTGCAACTTACATATACATGTATTCTAATATAATCACTCTTCCTTTTTTTTTAATGACAGGTTGTATTATGTGAAACTATAGTGATAAAGAGAATTCTGAGGAAGGTGTGGACCAGCACGCGTACACGCGCACTCTTTTCGTCATTAATGACTCTAAATTTCGTATAACGTAATCTATCATTAAACAGCGATGAGTGAACGTATATTAGCATACTTATATGTATAGAAATTATTGAAAGATTTAATAACTGCACTCTCCTAGACTTGATAGATTTTCTGAAATCGCACTCAGCGAAACGCCTCGGGGCAATTATACGTGGAAATGTTCTTGTGGTACGGTTACATGGATATTAAATAATTATTTTAATAATGCATACATGTTTTATTTGTCGCATGCATCGCAAAACTTGCAATCTCGTGCGTCGCGTTAGACATTTTTATCCTTTGCACAATTGATGAATCGCCGTTTTTTTTGTTGTTTTTTTTTTGTACTTCCGTAATGGCACAGGAGTAAATACGTAACTGCGAGACAACGCGAAACAATCGGTAATCAACGTTAATATTAAGAGGGAAGCGGAAACAAATTATTATATACATGACGTAAAGCTATTTCTAAAATTATAAAATATTCGGGATACAATCTTGTACTTTTTATCAATGAAAATCTTATCGTGTATTGTGATAGTCTTTCTTAAAATTATAACAGTATATATCTGATCTCCGGATCCTTTTACAAGTTTCTCGACTTCCTTACGTCCGCCAATCTGTGGACGTAGTCTCTTTTGGTGCACACTATACGCGAAAAATAGAATTTCATTCGGAATTGTAGACTGCAGGTACACACATATGAGCGCCTCCCGGCCGACGATCGACGCCGGTGCGCGCGAGAGGCGATAGCTATCGATACAACGTAGTATTTGTACATTTATAGTTGGCGAAAGTGAAATTGTGTAGGACTCAATCGTGTACGCGTTACATCGTCCGCTACGGGTATTGGTGAAAAGCGCGGCGCGGAGAATTAAACGCAACGCTAAAGGATCGGGCGTCAGGTATTCTCTGCGAAAGACACACACATAGGACACAGTTTAAACGAGATCACAATAGGTAATACTGCTTCGTTACGCCTTTCTCCGTGTCCGAGGGGAGTGCTGGACGCGGAAGAAGACGGAAGTAAAGCTTTGTGTAAAGCTCAGATCTTTGTACGTTTCTTTGGAACGTTATGCGCGCCGGTCGAATCCGGTCGTGCATCGGCCGCGTCTACCGAGCGATGCACAATCGCGATCCTTATTCCTGCCAGCTTCCGTGGTATACAGGGCTGTTGCGTGAATTATTACAACCTAACTCAATAAATAAACGCTACAATTAGTGGAGAATTGAAAAAAGAGGAACGAATACTGGTGCAAAACATTTTGGTTTCTCGATCGAATTCACTAGAAAGAGAAAGAGAGGAAGAGAGAGAGAGAGAGAGAGAGGGAGCAGACCCGTATTTGTTATTGATTGTAAAATTCAGCAATTTTCAACATTCATATTGCCAGTAGAACTCGGAGTATCTGCTGAACGTGGATAGGCAAGCGGAAAGAAGACGGCCGACAAAATAACTTAATGGATGACAGATTGATTAAAGGGTTGCATATAGTGAAGCTAAAATATATCGGATCTCTGGAGTTCCTCTTCGCGCGCCGAGGCGCGAATTCATTTCAGCAAGCGAAGTTCATTGGCCTGCACCTGAAAGATCAACATCGTCATTAACACGCATTAGATAGACAAATCATTTACTCACTTCGACTTATAGTTGAAAAAGCGAGATAATATTTTATTTCAATAAATCTCCCCCTCCCCGCGTCTTCCGGAGCAAAATCACGAAGAGGGGGCGACTACCCGATCGAAATTATTCGAGGCGGGCCATCGTCTTGAAACAAGATAAGAAAAAAAAAGGGTGCAGCCCCCTCGCGCTCTTACCGTCCGATCGTCTTGCGATCCACGGAACAAGGGATTATTCTCTTCGATCCACTCGTTCCTGTTGGACGCTGCGGGCCGTTCGCGGCTGCTCTTCATGCCGGATCTCACGGTTCTGCCGGCGTCCGATACCGATCTCTTGCCGATGGTCTCGAGGAAGCGACGATTCTCATCGACCTGCCGCTGGTCCTGCAGTGCCTTTCTGCGAGCCAGCTCCAGCAGGACTCTCTGCCTCAGCACGTCCAGATTGTTGACAATCGACAGGGACCCGATCGTTCCGATTCTCTTCTTGGTGCGCATCACGTTCGACCCGAGATTGTTCTCCGCATTCAGCATCTCGTCCTGTTGAGTGGGACGATTGTCACAATTAATCCTTTAAATACTAGGAAGGGAGGGAATATGAACGTTATCCTCGGAGGACCGATTGTCCGCAAACAAATGCCAGATGCTAGTAACATTAAATGTCTCGATGCTTTCAGACATTGTGTAATGCACTGCAATACACATTTTTCAAATAATACTCTGTACGTCTTTGCAAAACACTAATTTCAAAATTTAATTTTAATCTTACATATTAAGTAATTGAATACACAGAATAAATTCACGAGCTTTTGTTATCAAAATAAAATTTAATTATCTCGTGGGAGAAACGTTTTATTATTTTTACTTGATTTTAAATCTATGGCAGGCTCATAGCGCTTTAAACGCGTATAGGTACGATAAGAAAATATTTTTTAATTGCTGCAAAGGTAATTTCAAGATAAAAATAAAGAACTTCAATGACCATGTGTACTTTGGCCTACGTTTTAAATAATGCGATTAGATTACAGCGGTAAAATTTTTATGAACAACCCATTATAATGTTGCACAAACACCAACTATGCGCGACGAAACGTTGTCAGCTGTTCCATTACATTATTGTAGTTAATAACGCGCTGACAAGCTTATATGCGTTCTAATCTTATCAACCGTATGTCACTTAAAGTTTTACTAACAGAATTTGCGGCAAGGCTTTTACCCTTCCAATTTTTCTCTCCATTGGATCGTGTGTACATTTGTTTTCCATATGAAAAACGTTACGGGAAAATGTAATTGTAATCCATAGTAATATTTATAATAAAAATAAATAATTCTGTGTTTTGTGTATTTTAAATATTCAATCACTTAATATGTGTGATTAAAAGTAAATTAAAAAAAATTTTTTTTTTAAAGATGTGTACTAGGCAGTGTATCGTTTCAAAAATGTGTATTAAAGTGCAGCATACCATCATGTCTGAAAGCATCGAGACATTTAATGTTACTAACATCTGACATTAAGTACCCTGGTAATTAAGTCAGTTAAAGTTCCATAAGGTTATTTTGAATTTGAATGGAAATTCAAGCGAGGCAACTCCTTCGCGAGTACGTAGGAATTAAGGGCAATTTGACATTTACATGCTCCCCCTACAATTTACTGTGTGACGTCTTCCCGGAAACGACGTTGCAGGTACTTTTGCTTTACCGCGTGTTTTTACCGTCGCGTTTTATGTTTTCTTGACTCATATACAGCGATTTTACGATCCTATATTCTGCTGCATTCTCTCGCTGAACAATTCTTTCGAAACGACATTCTTTTCCCCCCTTCCTATCGCGCGAAACTTACAGATCGATTTACACAATTGTCGCGCGCAGTAACCGCGAATTTGCGCGGTGCGTGGCGGCAGCCGAAAATGCAACTCCCTCGAGCGAGAGCTCGCAAAAGAGCTTTCAACTTACACTCACAATGCACCGAACCGGAAAATACGTATTTACAGAGCTGGGCGAAGAGCGAATAATGAATGCACATGAATAATGAGGGCACCTGCCACCACCAGGTCGCCGTGCAATATCGCTGCTTTCGTGCCGCCGTGCCTCGGAGCGAATAAAAAAATTTTGTACGAATATATTCCGCAAATTTCTCATTATACGTTTATCTACCGCACTCGCAATGTTTCAAGAGCAACGCGGCAAACGAGCCGGAGCGTTTTGCCAAAGAATAATGCGGCGCGTGAGTCGCGCTTAGAAATTTCCGATGTTGATTTTAAGAAAAATAGCGAGATTCTGAAAAATCATTCCTTTCCCTCGCTAAGTCAGACTCGAAGATAAATGGAAGGGAATTTATCTGTTATGAACGAAAATATCTCGCCGAGTAGTACGACTTGTAATAAAAGGGACACCGCGCGCTGCTCTTCACCGATTTCGATAAAACCTGCAACTATGATAGAAGATACTATCTAATCAATACAGGCGAAGCCGTTTTTCTGAATTGGCCTTCGAAGTCGACGATCGGACAAACGACTTTACACACGTCACTCAGATAGCATCTTCTATCGTTGTTGCAAATTTTATTGAAATCCGTAAAGAGCAGCGCACAGTGTCTCGTGAGATTCATCTACGAGTAACAGAAACGCGATCTCTTTTTTTTTTCTGTTTCTGCGAGATCGCATCGCGTACGCACAACTTCGTCTCTCGCGTCATTTTGCACGTAGCTCCCTTGAAAAAGATATCGGCGAGATTTATTTGTGCAAATGTTATATATATTTTTTTTGCGGAAAGATACATTTCGGGATGCATTGTGTATTTTGATATTGTTCAATATCAAGAGTAATCCGATATTTTCTATTTTTATTGGAGCGAAGAGTATGCACGGGGGAGGGCCGCGGATAAAGGGACGCTTTGGATCCTCGGGCGTCGAAGTCCATCCGCTTCGTGAAGACGGTGGGTACACCAGCCGCACGGGAAATAAGGAGGAATGCAAATCCTCTGTAACACGACGTGGGATCCCCCATATGTGTCTAGAGACCAGAGGAGAGAACGTCCCCATTCATGATTCACGCGCTCCTGATTCACCCGCACACGTCCGCGATATACGTGTTTTCCGTCACTTTCCGATACCAATGGCCGCGAGGCGCGCCGCATCCCCCGTAAGCGTGCGTCATCTGCGCGGATACCGGTCGATCGTAATACACGCTAACTATTCAAAATGCAACGCGCTCGTAAACTAAGCGATCCGATGAGACACGTGTCGGCGCGCGTTATCCAGCACAATGGTTCGTATATTTGTTGAATAACGTCGTTCTATTTCGTGACGAACGCGATTTCCGCGCGGCGCGCCGCGACGTTCCGCGCGCTTAGAAGCTCGTCGGCGGATTATTGATGATGCTCCCTTATCGCGACGCATCTTTCTCGTCTCCCTGGCATCCTGAAATGTCATGGATCTACATTCTTAAATTTGCATCCGCGGCACTCACTAGTAAACCTTACCCAAGTGGGGACACGCCGATTTTCGTGAGTGTTGAATAGGGTAAAGGCAGGCATTATGGCCAGGCAGGTAATATGGCCACAACGCCCGTATTAAATATTCTAAACATTGATAAACATCAATAATGTATAAAAACCAATTATTGTAGCTATTCTTGAAGTTTGGTAACAAAAATCTCTCTATTTTGTTGTTATTTGTGGTTTGGTGCTTCATTGTTCTCCATAACCATCAAAATATACACGTCAAAGTGAGACATGGCACTTCCAACTAACAATAAGTAAGATTTTCAAATTAAAACAAAATAATTTTGGCTTTTCTCATTACACATTTCAAAACCTAAACCTTGGCTATATTTTTATAATAAATTTATCGTGCTTTGCCCATTATTTTGATAATTATAATGCACATTATTAAATGTATGCTCGGCGGCTAATATGGCCAGCGACAAAGGTAGCTACTATGGCCAGCGAGTACAACAGAGTATAGAGTACGCCAGTGCTGAGAGTGATAACAGCGAAGAAAGAAAATAGTTATTTCTCACAATTTATTAATAAATTGTGAGAGCACGGCGTTACGTAGAGAGAGTGGGCATACACATACACATTTCTTAAATGTGTACTCGTATGTTTAAAATATTTCAAAGTTTATGTTCTGTACGATTAAAGTAATACTTTATGATTAAAGTAAATACCTCACTTTTGCAAAATATTACTGTTTTGTACACTTTTTTTATAGTTGACCATATTATCTACCCCAAATTTAATATGGCCAAAACGCATACTTTCAGATTCTTTTTTTTTCTTCGAATATGGATAGATTTTAATTGATCAAAACATTTTGTCATCAAAGCTTATTAAATACACTAGAATTTCAGAAAGTTACAAAATAAAAAACCAGCGGTTTGAAAATCAAAACTATGGCCATAATACCTGCCTTTACCCTATGTCATTTTTTTAGGTCAAAGTAAGGGACACGTAGTTTTTTTATACGTGGTGAAATACCCCTTTGAAGAAAATTGGATTTTCTCTTTCGGGACGAATGTCGACGAGAGTGTAAGAGCTAGAAAACATTTTTTCGATGAAAGTGGAATGGTTTCAATGGTACTTTAAAACTATGAGCGAAAGGTTTTTAATTTTTTTCTTTTTCAAAATACCACCACCACTCAACATTTTTTATCACAATTTTGAACTTTATTATATACGGTTGAAATCGTAATAAAACGGGTTTTAATTTGGTGCTAAGACATTTTCAAAATTGTGATGAAAAATGTTGAGCGGTGGGGGTTATTTTGAAAAAAGAAAAAATTAAAAAACTTTTTCGCTCATGGTTTTAAAGTACTATTGAAACCATTCGACGTTCATTAAAAAAAATTTTTCTAGCTCGTACACTTTCGCCAATATTCGGCCCGTGAGAGAAAATCAAAATTTTCTTCAAAGGGATATTCCACCACCTACACGAAGAGACCGATATGGTTATCGCATGTCTAATTAGGGTTGGCACAACCCCAATAAATAGTAATATTTGGGACAGCTATATCTGTGGTTGTCACACCCACATTGGTAAGATAAGTAGTCGAGACAACTTATATGCGTTTCGTGCAGCAAACTTAGTGAATGTCGCAACACAAAACAATGTAGATGCCCCTACTATTTACACGGCAACATCTTAATTTTAGTTATTTTCGCCTTAGCCGGTCTTTCTTTACTTGTTTACTTGTTAGGGATGCAGGTGTAAAGAGAAAAAGACGCGTTCCAGTAAGAAAGTGTCGTGAGTAATCTGTGATTCTAGGCTGGGAAATGTTTTTACATTTAAAATTTACGACAGGAAAACGTCACTTATAGTCGCCAGTGATGATTAAAACAGTGAGCTTATTGTCAACCCAACTGGCAAATTTTTTTTAAATTCGTTGCAATGAGTGTTTGCCAGTTGAGTTGACAATAAGCTCGCTGTTTTAACTTAAAATTTAACTTATCAATAAACAAATTAAATAAGTAAACGAGAATGTGACGTGGACCTAAAACTCCTTGATCGTTTTGATTAGGCCCTAAACACACGTGTTGCGACGATAATAAATCAAAAACTCTTATATTTACAAAATTCCTAGCATTTAATCTTGACAGAAAAAATAATAAAAAAGTTTCTTTTTACACGATTTCTTCTTCTCACTCTATGTACAAAAAAAAACAGAGCGAAGAGCTATAATTCTGATCATAAAAATAAGAGTTATTTTTAGATTGCTTTATTTCTCGGTCAATATTTCTGTTCGCCGTATTCGTTTTACTCGAGGAAACGTACCTCCAATTCTGGTATTCTTTGATCGATCAACAGGAAAATTTTGGGACGATCGTCCGACACGTCCCTTCTTTCGTACGGCGACAGAGGAGCGGAACTTGTGAGGCTGATTATCGTCGTCGACGCCAAGATACCAAGCAGTATCATCGTGCAGGAAGAATGTAAATTAATAACGTTCATCTGAAACACATCATCGAAACGCTTGCAGGTGATAACAAGTCAGCAAAATATTTATTATCGGGCAGCAAACCAAATTTTTCTTATAGAAAAACTCCAGCTATCACTACTTTCCTTACTTTCATAACAGTTTCTTAGCGCTCGTGCCTCGAGTTAAATTGCAAAACGACTTGTATTAGGCTACGCATTTCTTTCGCGTCGAGATACATTTTCGCCGCAAGCTTTCGCTTTCGTCGCGACAGGACTTCGAGAGAGAAGTTTGACGCGGATGGACAAATCAATTTTAAATATAAGCCACATAATGACGAAACCAGAAGAAGCAGCGGAAAATTGCGCGGGCAAACTTACGCGCCCGTTCCTCGCGTGTTAAATTTTTTTCTGTTCTCCGGAGCCTGTTCGATTCGAGAGCAAACATTCTTTTATCGGCTTATGTCTTCTGCCATCCATCACGGGGTGATTCACGAGAAGTCGAGTTCCGGCGGCAGGTGAGAAGAGGTACTTTGTGCGCGAATTGCTTGCCATGCCAACATCCGGTCGTTCGGTCTAAGACTCTCTATCCCTCGACTCGCGCTAAGGCACGCACACCGAGAAAGCTATCCTTGTTAAATTACTTTTGCAAGTCAAGCCGCAACTCTTGCACGCTATAACATTTCTTGCGAGGCATCAAATCGTATTAAACGCACGTCTATAGTAGCGCGCCTGAGTTTTCACAGTTTCCACCTTTTGGAAACATTTACTTGACATTTTAAAAAATAAGGGAAAAAAGAGAAAAAAAAGATTTTTTTATAAAATTTTTTATACTTAGAACATTCTATATTAGTATTTTTATATTTTTTCTAGATATCAGATGTAATAAATACATATGTAAGATATGTTTTTAATTGTATAAATTCAAAATGTTACATTAAAAGTAACACTTGGCTCTTTTTAGTTAATTTTTTAAATGTAGAATTTATCTCTTCCTAAATTTACGAGAGATGATAATTTTTGGAATTTATTATTCTAGGTATCTATTCTGGTAATTAAATTTCTCCGTTATTAATTATTTCTATTGCATAAACAAATTCGATAACGTCAGCATGTACAAGATGATAAACGTTTCTGCAAGACGTAGATGTTGACATAGTCGTCGTCGTTGCCCTGTCCGTTACCGCCGTCGTCGTTGTCGTCATCGTCCGGGTCCATTAACACCAAGGGGCTTAATTTGCTGTCCGTAATTTAGGGCTGCCGTTCCGCTTTTCAATTACACGCTGCGAATCGACCGGCGACTCGATGCCACGTCTTGATTCCAGTCCCGTTCCCTCTGTTCTATCTTTTCCCTCTAGTATTGTGCTAGTGTCCAAGGTTCGTCACGTGGATTTTTAATTAATGTCTAGACAGAGATTGGTACATTGGTCAAAGGGGATTAGGTGTCTTGTTATCAAAGTACTGTGCGACAAGCGGTGCGTCTGTTCGTTAGGTAACTTGGACAATTAGTAGACTACGTGAACGTTAAAAGAGACCCACAAACGGAATCAATAATATTCATAGAATAAGCACAATTAAACGCACGTTATTCAATCATCCTCGTTTTCTTTTTTTGACGGTGAATTAAAGATTATTTTCTTCTGAATAAAACTTCATACTTTCTCAATATTTCTGTGTCAAGGAAATCGTGATTTCAAATTTGTGATGAGAAAGATAAGTTAAACGAAAAGCGGAATAGTCTCTTTGGGAAAATAGAAACCGAAAAATAATGCAATTGAAATTTTATGTACAGAGTCAAAATTCTCCCCTGTATCTTTTTCTAGTACGAATATACACTGGTCAAAAAAATTAACGCAACAAGAAATTTACATCAAAATTTGGCGAATTTCAAATAAGCGTAACTTCGCGAAAACTGGTCGAATTGAAAAGTTTTTTTTTCATTTTATAGGGCAAAGCCTCTGCTTTAAGAAGCTCTTATTGGAATTTGCATTCACTCTTCCCATTTCCCGGAACTTTCTCAAAATCATGACCATGTTTTTTCTTTAAAAAATTGCACACTTTGACGCACTGTGCGGAGTGTAGTAATTTTTCTTCGCCAGTTCTGTTTACGGTATCAAAAAGTGTATACTTTTCTCTTCAATTTAAAGAAAAAAAGAAGTTCCTACGATTTTTTTTCGCCAAATCACAGCTTATTGAAATAACCCTTGTGTTTTCGACATAACCGATGATATCTCCGTTAAAAATCATCGTAGCAAGATCGTTTTTTTTTTAATTAAAGCTTGCACTTTCAGCTTCAAAAACTAGTCACCAGATTTTTCCTCGAATGCATCTGCGCTGCTGTAGCTTTTAAAATGTAAGGACATGTTTTTATCTAAAAACTAACCAACTTTGGCCAGGTGCCCGGGCGTAAGAAACTTTTCCTCGCTAATTCTGCTCGAAGTATCAAAAAGTGTGTACTTTTTCCCTTCAATTTAAAATAAAAAAGAAGTTACTGCGATTTTTTTCGCCAAGTTACAGCTTTTTGAAGTAACCCTTGTATTTTCGTTCATTACCGTCAACATCAGCGTAATGTGCACGTGGAGGTTGCCGTTCGGAG